CACCAGATTATGATCCTTCTCAAATCTATGAGTTCAACATGAACCTCTCACTTTTTGTTTTCTGAAAGGTTAACCAGAAAAGAAAGCTCCTACTTCTCTTTTATGGTTCTTAACAAATTGCTACAGTAGATCCGACAGCTACAGTGTCACGCGCCTGACACCTCTGATGTTGACTTGTGTAGCTTCCACCTTTTACTCTGCAGACTTCCCATAACTTCTTGTAAACTTGAGTAGACTTCTCTTTATATCCAGCATACTCTCCCATCTGCTCCTTGTTGACTTAAGTGACCTCCATTTGATAATCAGCAGACTGTTCCATCTGCTCCAACTGTTCACATCTTTATCCTGCAGACTTCACTGTCTGCTTCAGCTGTTCACACCCACTTGTCTGTTTGATTGGCTCGAGATGCCACGTCACCATGTTGACTTTTGCTTCTGCTTCCAGCTTATGCCATGTCACCATGTTGACTTTTCCTTCTGCTTCCCAGCTTTATGCTTCAGCTGAGTGACTCTATGGTTCAGATCATAGCTTCTCATCTCTGTTGAGTGACTCCAGCAGAACCCTGTTGCACAGATTCTTTCAATCTCCCCTTTTTTGCCTGAGTATGTCAATCCAAGCACCAATACCTGCATAGATGAAAGCAAGCAGACACACAAGCACAAACTAGACATACATATATTCAGACAGCCAATCCGGATGCACACTTCACAATCAAAACACCAAATACTCAGTTTTTTCAGCAAGTGCAAGAGACCATAACACCATACTTAAGTTCACGAAACTAAGTAGATTTAAGTAGCAAAGATACAGACCCTAAAACACGAGCATAAACCAAATCCACACACATAAGTGGGATCCAAGAACAACTCTATCATGGGGTTCAAGTTTAAGATAACTGCAACAGATAAAACCAATATCTACACAGAGTTATTCAGAGTTCAGACTTGAACTCAAAGTCATCCGGATCGGTGTCAGCGTCTACTTCCGATGTTTCTCCCCCATCATGTGTGCGCGTACCAGATTCTCCCCCTGCTTGGATGCATTCTCATGCAAAAATATCAGAGACAGATATTTAGAACTAAGTTTGAAAGCCAGAGATAAAACCTGAGTGCTTCAGATGCAGTCCTTGAACCAGAATAGTCAGATAATCAAGGTCAGCTGCGATGGATGAGTTTTGAATAGCAGACTGAATACAAGTTGAGAAGTCATCCTTCAGAGGTATCTTGAAGGGCTGAGGCATCTAAGAGAAGTGGTCTCCATCCAAGTAAGGCACAGATCGTTGATATTTCAGCAGTTGAGAGATCAAGCCGAGAAGTCTTGGAGTCC